AAAGGTTCCCAGGTCAATCTCCGCTTCTGTTTGAGTAGCAGTTGAACCATTGGCTGTGTGGAACATGATAGGATCACAAGTTCGTTGCTTCAAGTTCATCCTTTCGGCTTTCCTTGCAGAAATCAGATCGTGTCCACTGCCAGAATCCAGGATGAATCTACGATCCTTGGCTTGTACTGGTAATGAAATGCACATCATATTCTTGGACTTCGTGAGGGATTTTTCAACTTCATGTCCAACAAGCTCTTCAACAAAAGTCAAGTCATCATGATCATCGTCCAGCTTGATCAACATGTCGAATTTGGGGCCAATGATGATTCTAACTTCATCAACAAAACGATGGAGTCCACATCTGTCCATGATGATGGCTTTGGCCCGCGCCCGAATTGAACCAAGGGTGTTGTCAGACTTGGACTGATCATCAGTCAAATCATCGATCTTCCAGAAGACATATTGCTTGTTGGGATCACGATAAGTACGCTTTGGTAGTCCCTCCTGGCAGTTCTCAATGACAATCTCGTGCACTTCAGGTTCCAGCTCAAATGAGATCCTGCGAACATCAGAAGACTTCTTTGCGCTGGCTATCCTCGGTGAGGTATAATCCATGGCGTCTTCATTGTCGCTATCAAAGAAGGAATCAATGGTAATGGGAGTAGCTTTCCTCTTTGGTGTCTTCTTGCTGGTCTTTTCTGAGGATGCTGAAGGCGATTGTTCTGCATGTAGGAATTTACATTTGTTTCCGAATGTGCAGGTACCCTTTTGCCAATTCCAACATACCTTCTTTTTGGATCCAACCGAAGATGAACTTCCTCTACTCTTCCCTCTTGAAGAATCTCGACTTCCGCTTCTACCTTTCTTACCTTTCATCCTGGCATCATAGACCTTTTGAGAATGACTGTAAAGACATTTGTCACCTTTGCTGCATCCTCCCTTGTTGAAGAAGTAATTGCAGAAAATCTTCTTCTTGTCGACGGGTGAAGATGATCTCCCCTTCCCACCTTTGCCTTTCTTATTGTTCTTGTCGGCATGGGATTTCGGAGAAGGTGTTGGGAGTACTGATGCAGCTTCACTCTTCGCCTTTGCCTTAGGTCGCTTGGGAGGATCACCTGTAGACGATGCAGCTGCTTCATTCTCCTTCTTGGTCTTGATGGGAGCGGCAGGCTTGTCTGCATCTTCCAGAGCAGGTGTTGTCTTGTTAGAGGACAATGACAGTTTCACTGCACGTTCTCTATCTTTCAACAGTCGTTCTTGTTTTCCCCGTGCTATGTATCCTTTGATCATACCGGTCAGGGAAGCATAAGTCTTTTCAGGATGCCCTTCATCATAGGTACGGTATCGGCTGATATCAAAAGACATAAGCTTTGAATGTTCAATCTTCCGGAACAATGTGTCACGCAGGGAATTTGCAGAAGGCAGATCATCATGTTTCATATTGTATATGATATCAAGCCACTTGTTGTAGAAGGCCTCAAGTTGGTCATCTCCATAGTAATTGAACATGTATAAATGATGGGCGTTGTATAGAACTTCAGTGTGGTCAGGTGACTTGAAGCTAATCAATACCATTGCGAATAGTTCTCGTCCCTTGATGAAGTCCCCACTCCTCCCATACATTTGGTTCTTCATGGACATGTCATACTTCACTTGCATGGACTTGTCCCCAGCATTGTCAATGACTTTCCTCAAGGCATTGGAGAGCTTGGCATCAATGGATTGGAATCTCACATCGGGTGCTTTGGCCAGGGCCTCCAAGTCTGGTTGGTCTGCAAGACACGGAGCTAGCCATGCTTTCCAATCTTCATAGTTTCGATCTCCACTTGCAACACAAACTTCATGAACAACACTTCCCTTCCAGGATGAAAGTTCAGTGGTCTTAGGCCAAGGTTGGAGATTGATCTTTTCGGCTTCCCTTAGAGATACGGATGACTTAGATCTATCCTTCTCAAGGTTTTCCAACTCCTTGACATTGGTGTTGTACTCGTTCCTGAGCTTCTCGAAGGCTTCAGCTTCTGCTCGGTATTCCTGCTCCTCATCGTTGGCACGATCTTCAGCTTGAGAGAAGTTGTTCTTGTAGTAATCTTTCCGATCTTCCATCTTCCTTAATTCATCTTGAAGATTTCGAACCTCAGCGTTCCTCTCTTGCTTCATCTCGTCCAACTCTGCTTTCAGTTTGGCACACTTCTCTTCACATTCATTTCGAGGCATGGCATTACTGGGGTACCCAAGTAACGTAGCCGGTCTGTTCAATGATGAAGATGAAGCAGCTTGGTTTTCTAGCCTCAGGGCAGCGATGGTGCTCGACATCTCTTCTACTTCGGCGAAACGTTCGCTAGCCAATTGATGCATCTCGGTCAAGTGGCTCTCAGGAATGGAGTAGTCAGTCGCACCTTTGATCACGAGTCTTCTATCGTTCAACATCTTGATGGACTTGCCTGCATCCCTGTGAGCACGCTCAAGAGAATCCTTTTGGGCTTCAATCTCAGTATGAAGGCGAGCAATGGCTGTATCCCTGTCATTGACTTCATTGTGCAAACTGTCGAACAAGTTACTCGTCACATTCGGATTGTTACTCATGTGGTCGATCTTGTCCAGAGCATCTTGATACTTCTTACCAGTTTCATCGAAATGTTTCTGAAAGGTCTTGAGCAGGTTCTCAGTGTCAATGAGTTCAGTTCTGTTTTGCAAGTACAACTTGTCAACTTCAGCCTTAGATTCCTTTAAACTGTCACGTTCACATACAGCTTGCATGTACATTTCATGTAGTAGTCCTCCATGCGGTGATCTGCTTGGCGAGGACCTTCTGGCTTGTTGACAGGAAAGTTCATGATACTGATTCTTCGATTCAGTCAGTTGATGTTGCATTCGATCCAAAAGGTTTTGTTTCATGTGTAGTTCCGAACGTAGTCCCATTATCCTCATGTCCCGCATGCCGCTTGATTCAGCTAGAGATTCTTCAGAGACCTTGCTCTCAGAAGTCACTAGTCGAGATTGTAAGTTCTCATTGTGAATCACTTGCAATCGATGTTGTGATTCCTCCAAAGCTAAATGATGTTCACAGTCTGCATAACGGTCATGTTCAGATCTTATGTTATTACGGAACTCCTTCATGATCTCGTCCCTCTTCATGTCAGCAGCATCGAGCTCAGTTTCCAGTCGTCTAACATTCATGGACATGGTATGCTTCATCGTCTGGTTCTGATTGGCAACCTCGAGCATCTCGATCTGTAAAGCACATGTTTGGTCGTTAGCATAGCCGACCGCCAGAGCTTCTTGCTTTGCATTCATCTCTGCGTTTTCTAATTCCAGTCTGAGTTGATTGATGTGAGCATTCGCATCAGCGCCCACATGTACCATAATTGCGTTCGCTTGTCCCATTTGTTCATTGAATTCCGAACGTAGTTGTGAATATCTAAATTCCAAATGAGATGCAGCTTCATTCGACATAGTCTGATACCTCTCCAACTCTTCGATCCTGTAGGTTGCACCTTCATCTTCCTGTTGTGCAGCCTGTAACTCAAAGTTCAGCATCTGGAGTTGTTCAGTCATCGACATCATCTCTTGATGAGTGGTGCTTTCCAGGAAATTAAATTGTTGATAGGCATATGCAGCCGTCTCAGTCAATCTTGCCTGAAGTACAGATTCTTCTTCAGTAGCCTTTTCCAATGATGTCTTGTATTCAGCTAATTCACTCTGATAGGCAGTGAAGATGTCGCTACCACTTGATGGGGCATTCACTCGTTGATAAGATCCTGTCCCTGATGGAGTAGCGTCCTGAATCGGTGAAGGCGGATTCGACGACGTAGGCTTTGCCTTAGTCCTTGGAGTCATCGGAGGTGACAATTGTCGTGCAGATGATCTTCTCTTTCCAGGTGTGCTGTCCCTATCTTCAATTGCTTGCATTGTCGAAATTTGTCTCCCTCTAGGAGCAACCAGAGGTCGCCTGGGTAGGCTTGGTCTCAGTTCTGAGGTTTCGCTTCCACCAGTGTCGATACTCTGTGAAGAATTTGACTGCGTGCCGGCAGCTGGTGCAACGGCATGTCCAGAGAAAGAAAATGCGTTATCGCTGCTATCCTGTTCAGTCATCTGTAAGGTCCGCGGCTACCCGCTCGTAGGCTCCGTAGGAGTCCTATGGCTGATAACCTGTGAATCGGAGATTCTCTCCGATATGTGCGTGTGTTTGTTTCCGAGAATGTTCGTTCTCACCAACGACGACAAGAGGTTCACAGCTTCGGCATGGTTGACGTTTTCTCGTGGGGCCTGCAGTAATCTTGAGCCAAAGGGGCAACATTTGTGACCCTTTGGTACTGGAAGGATAGGGGATATTTACATGGGAACATATACGATGCTGTAGCCTAGCTCCCATTCGCAATGTATGTATGTATGTATGTATGTATGCATGCATGCATGCATGCATGTCTATGTCTATCTGTATGTGTATGTATGTCTATGTCTATGTATATGTATGCGTCTGTGTCCACGTATATGTATGTGTTCTGTATCTGTATATGTACAGTATATGGTATACGTATGTGTATGTGTATGTGTATGTGTATGTGTGGGTGTACGTATATGTGTATGTGTATGTGTGTACGTAATTATATGTGTATGTGTATGTAAGCATGTATGTATACATACAAGTACAAGATACACAAAGCGTTCATCTCACAAATCATGCAAATGGAATGGAAGAATACTTTCATGGATGTCTTGTCAAATGTTGGAGAAAGGGAATATACGCACAGAATGTGGCCTGCGCGCACACCAAATGCTGAAAATAAACATCTTTAAACAAAGTGCGTCTCTAGATTCATCCCTCTGGCACAAACAAAACAAGTAGCGATGGGAGAAGTGCATACAGTTTCACCAGGACATCCGCACGGGAAGTAAGACAGAAACGGAAATTGAAACAAAGGTGAAACTGTATGCACATGTATGCACTGTAAAACAATTCTGATTGGAAAAAATCGAAAATTCCGCGTTCCGAACGCCGTTGGTCCAAGCTACAGGCCCAGGCACAGTGGACACTCCAGCTGACTTCTCAGCCAGTCCTCAGGACAGGCTTGCTATGGCTTGCATGACTTCCTTGGAAAATGTAAAGTCTGCTTTTTATAAATGTAGTCTAGCTTTCGACTTTGCCAACAGTTTGCGCCAATCACTGAATCTTGCACAAAGATAGGTCTTGGTTATGATATGTCAATATCAGACGATCAAATGCTGTAGCATCAAATATACTTTCACTTTCTCTTGGAATTGCATTGATCCGATTGATCCAATTGATCCAACTGATCCAACTGATCCAACTGATCCTCATCAAATTCAGGATTGGCTTTGTCCGCTTTGTCCGCTTTGTCTAGTGCAGGAAGGGTGTCCTGGACGGACCGACTCAGCAACTGCAAAGAGTGTGCTTTGTCTACGTTATCACCATTGGTCTTGTTCCGTCTTGGCTTCGGTAACCGTCAACAGCAATGCAAACGTGTTCTCTTTAAATGGGCACAATGCCATGACATTTCACTCCCGAGGAAAACTAAAACTTCCAAGCTACAACCAAGTCTTACCCCATGCTAGGCAAGCCACAGAAACTTTCATCAGCGCAACACACTGGCACACTTTGGCAAAGTGACCACGTTTCTTTTCATGTCTGCTTCGCAAAGCTTTTTGTAGAGAATACATTGAATACATTAAAATACAAAACGAATACATGCCTTTGCAAAGTGTGGTGTGAAAGTTCCGGGCGCCTCAATCGGAGGGCAGCGGCCATCCCGAAGCCAATCTTTTACCTCACAAACTTTCGTAGAACTGGGCAGAGCGGCAGAACTTCGTGGAAGTTAGAAAACCGTGCCTTTCCGGATGCCATGGAGTTCGGCAACAGAACTGCGCAATCCCCGCAACAGATCCATACTCATGTCATCTTTTGTCCATTTCTCATCTCAACAGCTTCGTGGCATGACTGGTGAGCAGCCGTACATGCGATAAACATCGATAAACAAATACTTTTGTTTACACCGTGACATCCCTCACCTCCCTCACCCTCTACCCACGGCCTTTTGCAGGTCGTTCCTCAACAATGCAGAGGCTATGTGCACAGAGGTCGCGGGCCATGAACATTGACAGCTTGGTGGATCGGTAACGCAGGCTGCTAAGTGGCAAGAAAGAGGTGAAGAGATATGGGATATCTGAAAAGATGAAAAAGGCAAGCCTCAAAACAGTTTGCGATCAGCGATTCTCGAGCCAGTCCTGCAATGTCTACATTCCCTCTGTCAGTCCTTGACATCTTGGAGCACAACTCTTGCAAATCGCTGGCAGCAGCACCTCTGAAACTTTGGGGTTCTGCGACACTCCCTCCAATGAACGATATCTGTGCTGATTTTTCATACCTGGACAAATGCATATCCATGCACTTCCAAATGTATCATATGGGTCACATGTAACTATGTAGACACGTGCTTATACAGTATACAGTATACATATGTACATGTACATATATATAGATTATAATCATATTGCATGTGCATAAGACGGAATGAACGTAATTCAGTACTTCACAATTACAGATTGTGAACTCAAGTTCCACCACAGGGGCAAAGGCCACAAGGATCCAATGGCGGAAGCCTCCCCGTGCCAGGGCATAAGCGGCACAAGCTGCACTGCTTTGCCCCAAAGCTTGGCCGACACGCAGCCAGGCCTGGCAGTGCATCTGTAACAAATAGATAGATAGATATATATATATATATAATATAATATATATATATATAATATATATATATAATATATATATAATATATATATATATTGAATTTCTGAATATCTGATGAATATCTGATGAATGATGGGAAGATAACATGAGAATTTCCTCTGTCCATAGGGCAGCTGGGACGTGCGGATTGACTCACACACTCTTGCCCTGGCTTGTTGACCTCCCAGGCAACTGTTTAGAACAGTGTCTTGGTCAGGCGTCCTTTTTCCATTTTTTCCCAAGAAGAGAGGTTGCATTTTGTGTGCAGCAATGTGTTCACCCGAGATGGATAGGAGAAAATGTGTGAAAATTCACAACATGTGTACAACTGGAAGACGCCACAACTGCGGATTGAACAACGCACATTTAGACCAACCGCAGCCAAGGACCTGGCTTTCACGGTTTTTGTTCAATTCGATGTGTGCATCAAATGGCAGCTTCAACACATCAAATATTCTCGGCATCGGCCAAGACACATCGGCACATCCGAACCCCGAACTGTCACACACCTTGGCCAACATGGCCGGGCCGCTGCATATGGAAGCTTTGGCAACGGCCAGCCGCGCATCAGCCAGGGCAGCTTCGGTGTCCTTGGAATGATGGGAACACATGTAAAATCATGAAGCCAATGCCGAGCCAATGCGAAGCCAATGTGAAGCCTTCGTTGCCAAAATGGATCGGTTTGTCTTGGTCGTATCATGTTGTTCCCAGGTCTGGAACTTTGAGCACGTTGCTAACTGACAGCATTTTCTGATGACTAGGGACGTGCAAACTCCAGCATGCTGCAGCATTCATTTTGCTGCACAGCACTTGTTCGAGCTGAAAACCAAAATTTCACCGAGGGACTTCCAGCTTCAGTCGTGCGAGGGATCGATTGCACAGCACCTGGGATCCATTGCAGAAAGCAACGGAAAATAATTCAAACATCTTGAAATTGTCCACCAAAATTAGTACATGTGTCTTGGAAACTGTTTGCTTTGTGTTCAGCTTAGGCCAGCCGGGAGCAGGACAACGATGTCAGGAGATTTGGACATTGCCTCTGAGTATGCCTTCCATTGACTTGGCAAGTTTCACGGCACCAACAATGTAAACAACATTAACAAAATACTTAGCAACGCATAGCAAAATACATTTTGGGAAACGCAATGCGCTCTTCACAGCAACTTCACGCATCTCTGAGAAGACTGCTTCGCATGCTTCCAAATACTTTCCGTCGCCGAACAAACGATTACCTTCGCAAAGTCGAGAAATGTTCGGTAAACATTTACAAATGTGGTCCCTCGTTTATCTACAAGATAAAGCACCAATTCCCACGATTCTTGCAGTCTGCTGGATGGAAAGCAACCTACGGATTCGAGAGTGTTGGGTGTGAACACAAGGGCTGCAGAGGCAACGCAATGTTCACATCTCGCGCCTCGTTGCCTCGCTTCTGCAGCCTGGGTTTGCGCTTCTGGGCATCGACCCAGCAAGTCACTCAAGATCACCTCGCACTCACTGACGTTGGCATCTGACCACAGCCGAAACTCAAGAGGTCTAAAAAGGACTAGAAAGCACAGAAACACGTCTTCAAAGTCACAACCTCCAAATATCCAAAGTTTCGAGCCTTACTCAATTCAACATTCCGTGTCTACTCAAATGGAGTGTCTGCCAGGTCACATTGGTGGCACTCCCAAAGCCAAGCCTAAGTTTCCAAGGAGATGAAGGACATCGTCGTGACATTGTGTTCAAGTTGCGCATTTGAACTCTTTCAAACAAACTAGCAACCTGAACATACCTGAACGCCACAACTGAACAATTCAGGAATTGGACTTCTCACCTTTTGCGGAATTGATACCTACTTCAAAAATCTTTGCGAATGTCCTAAACATTGAACATGAATTTCATGATTTTCATGATTTTCATGATTTTCGGTTGGTGATTCCGACTGATTCCGACTGATTCCGACAGATTCCGACGGATTCCGACTGATTCCTGCTTGTGCACATAATCCGCCCTGGTACGCAGGGGCAGTTCCACCCCACGGCACGTCAGCTCCGGTGGGTTCTGGTGTGGCGAGGCGGCGCTTTTTCACGCAGGGCCGGCAAACAGTGAAGCCTTGGTTTTGGACATGGACACAACCGACACAACCTGATTTCCTTAGACCAAAAAGAAAAAAGTCTGTGCACTTCCGTGTAAACATCTATGTATTGGTATCCAAATCTTGATTGTATGATATCATACTATCATATACACATGTAAGTATGTGTGTGTGTCTATGTTTTTGTGCACATTGGTGCGTCTGAAGGCTGGAGCACACAGGGGTACATGTGAGAAAGGGCAACAAGTCGCAAGCAAATAGACAAACCAAAGACAGTAAAGAGAACAGTGGGGACAGGCCACCTCATGACAAGCACAACAAACACAACAAACACAACGAAGAGCAAAAAAAATGATTTGTTTGATCAAGCCGTCAGGTGTTCTCTGCAAAGTAAAGAAGCTAAGAACAAAGTATGGCTGATTTACTTGATGCAATTTCAAAACTGCTAAGACCCAATGTCTTTCTCGGCAAACGGCAACTCACACACCTGCAGTTGCTCCACCCTATAGGCCCTATACTGTCCGTATACTGTAAGCATTTCTTTGCTACACATCTCATATTACACATCTCATTTAAAAAAAGTGCACATCTTTTTTTACAAACCTTGTAGTAAACATCTGATATCACATCTTTTGTTACACATGTTTTACTATATCTTACATACCTTTATATACATTTTGTATACATGATATATTCATTTTATATACATATTTTATACATCTTATATATATATGAACCATCTTATATGCATTTTACATCATTTTACATACATCATTTTACATACATCATATATACATCTTATACTCCATCCCTATAATCTATACAGTATAATCTATACAGTATAATAATGTATAATACATCTGTGAAAAAACAGAAAAACACCTGTGTACTATGTAGATGGAAGCCAAAGAGCGGGTCCCATCTGTGTCTGTATCTAGCACAACAAAAAGAGAAACAAGAGAAACTTAGAAACTGGGAACGATTTGAATGATCACAGCATATCGCAGCTCAAACATTAAAAGACTCGCCGGTGGCAGTTTCTTCATATTCTGAATCAGTTGGTTGTATTGGGTCTGCCCAAGCATCCATCTTCCAGTGTGGTTGGCTCAAAGAGCAAACTTTCACACCTCAAAGAACGAGTTTTCTGAAAAATTGTGGCCAAAGTGAATGTCACATTGCCTGTGTTGCCTGTGTTCCCTGTGTTGCCTGTTGTGTTTGTAGTGTCTGCACATTCACTGCATCTGAGTTTCTGCATGCACTCCAATTCCCGGGAGTCGAGGCTCTGCGCAGCGTTGGGGCTTGGCACCTGGCACACACCGGCGCTTTCTGATCATGTGGATCTCATGCAGGTTTTCTGCGCTTCGCACACGGAGCATCAAAATGAACGCATAAAATCACCTTTGTAAAATCCGCTTTGAACCCACCTCTGTGAATACACGATATGTATATATATAATACATATATACGCATATATATATATACATATACATTTAAATATCTAGTCTATATACATATATATATATGTATATAGACTAGATATATATATATATAATCTACCCCGTTATCTTAGAATATAGAATTGAAATTTTGGCTTCCCAGGGCATCCCCATAATTGAACTTGAAAACAGTTACTTAGAATACAGTTGACGTTAAAAAACCTATACTTAGAATATCGTTGGGCCATATAAATTCTTTCACTTTTCCAGACGAATTCGTCATTTTTCCATAGAAGTTCTTCACTTTTCTTTATAAATCCTTCACGTTTCCATACAAAATCTTCACTTTTCCATATTTTTGCCATACAAATTCTTTCACTTGTTCAGTCAAATTCATCATTTTTCCATATATATATATTTCTTAATAAATCCTTCACATTTCTATACAAATTCTTCACTTTTCCATATTTTTTCCATATAACTTCTTTCATGTTTCCAGACAAATTCATGATTTTTCCATATAAATTCTTCACTTTCCTATAACAATTCTGCACGTTTCCATACAAATTCTTCAGTTTACCATATTTTGCCATACAGATTCTTTTCCATATAAATTATTTTCCCTTTTCAGTCAAATTCTTCACTTTTTCCATATGCGTTTCTTCATTTTCTCCATAAATCCTTCACATTTCCATAATCCCCGACACCGGTCGTGAGGGATACCCTTCGGTGAGCTTGAAAAACTCATTTTTTAATTCAATATAATAAAAAAAATGATCATTTCGGGGGACCTGTTTTTTTGTTGAAACGTTCCAGTTTAGGAACTTCAGATATCCAGGATTGCTTCTACCCAAAGGGAATTACGTATATAATAATTATTCATGAAGGGGACCCTATTCCTTGCAAAACTACATACATAGAATATAGGTCCCCAGTGAGAAATATTCATCGGTTTTTTAAGGAATGCCACCTAATTCCACTAGTTTTCATTGCAAACTAGTTTTTTACTATTTTTTTCATAGTTCTCCGACACCGTTCGTGGGGGGTACCCTTCGGTGAGCTTGAAAAACTCATTTTTTAAATACAATATGAAAAGAAATTGATCATTTCGGGGAAGCTGTTTTTTTGTTGAAACCTTCTAGTTTAGGAACTTCAGACATCCAGGATTGCTTCTACCCAAAGGGAATTACGTATATAATAATTATTCATGAAGGGGGCCCTATTCCTTGCAAAACTACGTACATAGAATATAGGTCCCCAGTGAAAATATTCATCATTTTTTAAAGGAATGCCACCTAATTCCATTAGTTTTCATTGCAAACTAGTTTTTTTCATAGTTCTCCGACACCGGTCGTGGGGGGTACCCTTCGGTGAGCTTGAAAAACTCATTTTTTTAACACAATATGAAAAGAAATTGATCATTTCGGGGGAGCTGTTTTTTTGTTGAAACGTTCTAGTTTACGGACTTCAGACATCCAGGATTGCTGCTCCCCAAAGGGAATTACGTATATAATAATCATACATGAAGGGGGCCCTATTCCTTGCACTTACCCAACCTAGACCATTTCCCATGGATCTCCACCATTCGTGGGGGGGACCCTTTGCGGTAGAAAAAAATCTACTTTTCAGAACACAAAGTAATAAAAAATCAAATTAGTATGTGAAAACTGCTTGAAAAAAAAAACAGAAACAGGCTGCATAGAGGTGTACAAAGGCTTCCAGAGCAAAGGCCAAATGGGGAGAAAACAGATGAGCACGAAATGTGGGCATATTCTAAGTGGAGTTTTGTTCGAGTTCAACTGCATAATTGGAAAAACGGATATTCTAAGATAACGGGGTTGATTATATATATATACATGTTACATATGTATATACCCTCACAAATTATATATGTATTCTGGGAATGTTGCGACGGAACGTGTGGCCAAAACGAATCTTTTCTGCCTCGCTGTCGAGCGTGGGCCGTGCCAGCTGCACGAGTTCCTCCGCCTTTTCAGCTGCGCTTTCCGCACGTTCCACACACAACAAAACTTAGAGGCATTATCCTTTTGGTCTCATTCTCCATCTAAGTTAAATCTATTTTATATATGTTCTTCTTTCTTCTCTTTCTGTCGGTTTTCGGTACAGTTCATATCTCTAACATCAGTATTCACATACACCATCCTCATCCACATAATCCACATCAGACACCGGCTTTGTGGTATTAAAAACAAACCCAGGCACTGGCATAAATGCTGCAACCACCTCTAGAAGTGTCAGAATGAACGCTGGAATGTATGCATCCTCCATCGAGAGGCTGTCACAAAGGAGTTTGGCTCATCTTGACATCCCATTGCAAAGGTTGTCTAAAATCAAACAGCAAATTCATGCAAGAGTCAGAAAATCCAAATGAAAGTAGCTGGAATTTCCGAAGCCAAAACCCAACTCGGAAAAAATATGCCTCTTCATGTACTAGAAGTCTTCGCTAATAGAAACACAAAACATGTCTTTTGCATGTCAGCACCTCATTTTCATCTGGCGTGACTTCTGGCGCGTCTGGCACGGCTGGACACGCAGGTGCTAATGCAGGTGTTGCCAGTTCTGGCGTAGGCTCGGCCTTGCAGAAGCAGTAAAAACGAAACCGGGAGCTCTGGATTTTTGCTGCGCCCAACAAGTGTTCTAAACTTCCGCCACCGCCTTGTGCGGTACTACTGGTATAACTCTGAGACTATCGAAAAGACTTCGCCATTCTAGTCTGGTTAAGCAACTCAAGTCTGCTGCAATTTCAGCGATTTGAGATCTCAACATTCGAAGTGACCCTAAAGGATGCAAAAAGGATGCAAAAAGGATGCTAAAAGATGCACAAAAAAAAAAGATTAGGAAAAAATGCTGCAAAAAGTGTTTTGGTGCCTCGGGGCTCGCAGGAGCCATAGAGGCGGAAGAGGAGCCCATGGGAGAACGATTTCCCCCTCAAGACGTTAAACCATTTAGAATTTAGATCCATTCAGCACTTCACACACGCTTCAGCTTCAAACCGTTCAACAATTGATGCGATTTAACCGAATTCCACTTGTTTCCAGGTGATTTGATGCGATTTGATGCGATCTGATGCGATTTGATGCGATTTGATGCGATTTGCGGCTGTTGAAAAAACTAATTTAAAACTTTTTAAAACTGAGTTCTTTCCTGTCAGCAACTTTGTCACCCTTGCCTCCACAAACCTGAAGCCAAACAGCTTTGAAGAAACATGGACTCCCCAAATATCGAGACCTTGCATGACCTTGCCGTGTCAATCACAACAATGAATCCAAGCGACATCATTCGGAAGCATGATCAAACCCATTTTGCATGGCATTGGATCTCAGTTTGACTGCAGCTAACGTCTTTTAGGCATGCCCGACAAGCACAAAACAGTCGAGCATAGCCGAGCTGCAACTTGAACTGCAAATGGAAACAGAAAGGGGCAGAATGCCAGAGTCTGCCGCGACAAAAGCGACAAAAGCAAGATCAAAACGCCACGCTGTGGCGCTGGAACAGCCTGTCGCAAGTTGCACAGCAACCTTTAAGAAAAGCGCGGAGATGCGCGGAGTATGTGGGATTGATTTGCGACGCCCCTAAAGCCATACACTTTCAAATAGCATCAAATAGCTACAAGATCTATGCATTGGTCCCAAAACATTGAATTACCTGAGGCCATATGATGGGCCGCATGGCTCATGAAGCCGGTACCACCGTTGCAAGTCCGAGGTTCTCAGTGCACAGCAGATGAAACAAGATAAACAAGGCCCTTCACGATCCCACTACGCACTATTACGCAGTCACCGTTTTCGGCGAGGCGGAAGACAGTGGCAGCTCAGATCACCAAATCAGTGGTTTCTGCATATTCAAGGCCTCGGAGTCAGAGCACTGGCTTGGGCAAGAGCGAAGCAGCAAGCAATGAAGATATTTTGAAGATGTTTGAAGATATTTGAAGTTTGTTTGCTCTGTTGGGTTCAATGTGGAGATGGTGAATCCATAGGGTCAGGGTCAAATGCTAGAGGGATCCAATTCTAAAAGGCGACAACATCATTGAAAGTAATGAAAGTACCTAGCCGGTCAAACCTATCTAGGCAGGGGTCAAAAACACCTCATTTAAGCTGCACAGAAGCTTCTGGGCAATCGACGGAGGCCCGACAAAAACTACTGCTAGGCCGCTAGGCTGTCACATTAAGGAAAGGTTTGTCGTTCCAAGTTTATCCGACAGTCAAAGCAATCATCCTTTTGTCCCTCGGCCAAATAGTAACCTTTGCTGTCCGCCACACTTGGTTCTCCAAACCCATCGTGATTTCTGCTTGAAGAATTTGTTTGGCCTCCTTCAATCGCTCCTCAGTGAAAGCAATGCACAAGAATTGTGTTTTGCCAAATGTGGAAAGTGAATGAAAGTGAATGAAAGTGAATGAAGCGACAGTTGCGACACAGGAAGGCAAGAACTGCTTCGTCGAACTTCCACAAGACTCTGTCCACCAAGGTCCACCAAGGCCCATGCGGTCTCGTAGGTGTCCAGACGAGGGAGTTGATGAACCTCACACAACGTGACTTCCACATGGCTTCACAGCTCAAAGTTGCTCACTTTAAATCGCCCTTGCCTGACATGTCTTGAAGACATCTTGCAAGCACCAAATTGCCATAACTTGCCATATCTTGATGCATCATTTTGACATATCTTGACATATCTTGAGCTCGTCTTGGCGCGTTGGCCATTCGATGCCATTCGATGTCATTCGTTTGAGTTATGTCAGTTATGTCAGTTACGTTCGAGTTTTAGGACTCTTTCGAGATCTTTCGAGATCTTTCGAGTGCCGGGCTCGGTCAACACCTCGAGGTCCAAATGTTACCGGCGATGCGAAGAATGGCAGCTCTGTGACATTGGACCTGCAGAGATGCCACAAGGATCCACAAGGATCCACAAGGAGTCACAAGGATCCACAAGGAGTCACAAGGAGTCACAAGGATCCACAAGGAGTCACAAGGAGTCACAAGGATCCACAAGGAGTCACATGTCATGAAGACTAAACACACGGCCGCAACAAGAACTTGGCTTCCTGACCTGGGCCCTACTGTCTCAGCTTTCCAGATTTCCCAGCTTTCCCTACTGGTTCCCATCAAAAGATAGTCTCTTCAGAATGTTGTTGGCAAAGCTGCTTGAGCCAAGTTGCTTTACGTAGGCACACTCCTTAGAAGTTGTCACAAAGCATGAAAAAATACGGAGAACTTTCTTCGATTCGCTCTGGCAACATTCTGCTTTCGACCCACACTCGGCTCAGAGTTTGACATGGTTTGACATGGTTTGGCATCGCCTTCTCGCCTTCTTCTCAGACTCCGGCCGTTGTGCGATTTCCAGCTAGACCATTTAGCACAGCACTACCAAGCAAGTAGCCAGCATAGCCTGAGAGCAATCTGGTCCTAGTCCTGAGATGATGCTTTGCAATTCTTTGCAATTCTTTGCAATTCTTTGCAATGCTTTCTTCGTACATCTCCCAAAAGTCAAGAAGAACATTGCAAAAGTCATGGAGCTTTGCAATGCTTTGGAACTCGGTCCTGTGACTGCTTTCAAGCGCTATGTTGCTGTGCCAATAAATTGCAGCTGAGCATAGAATATAGCGTGGAATATCTCAGCAGCAGTTTTCAAAAGTTCTGCATGTATCTGGTCCTTTACCCCGCACCTAGAGACAAAGTAGCGCTGCCCTTGCCACATTTTGCCTTGACAATCTCTGCACCTGGATACCCCAAGCTGTCGCGTCACTCTTGCGCCGAGATCATGGACCCAGCAAATTATGAGATACAATATCCCTTTGGGCAAGTCGCTTGCAAAATATTCCAGGCCTGACCCCTTCCAAAAACTAATGCCTTGTGGCAAGGAATCATATCTTCGTCAAAGGCTGACGACTTTTTTGAGTTCTGATTGATCCTTTGATCTGATCTGATTGATGAAAAATGAACAAAGCGCCCCAAAGTGACATTCCCAGTCTGTGATAACGCCTGCATCCTGGACCCTCTGATCCAAGAACTGGCGGTGCTCCAAAGAAAGCTCGGCACAGGCCTTCTCCTACTCCGGAATTGGCGCGACTTGTTGGATGCGAAGTGGCAAAAGTGCGAAAGTTCGAAAAGCTGCAAAATGCACAGGCAATCCACACACCATTTCTAAAAAGGTGAGGACAAAGGGAAAACTGGGTATGACGATGACGGTACAACATGGTATATAGTATAGAAATCCTCCCGGTCCTGCGAGAAAAGTGGCAAGACTGACTTGCCAGCATGTCCGCCAATCACAGGCCTGAACGAACTTTCCAGTCAAAAGGCACTTTGTTGCCTCTGACACATGGCCAATAAACAAGAATGCACAACATATACAGTAGATGAAGAAAATGATGGCATGTCATCTGCATGTCATCTGCATGTCATCTGCATGTCATCTTGGTGGCTCCAGGGGAAGATGTCAGGTTCGAACGGACTTCGAACGGACTTCGAACGGACTTCGAACGACTACGGTCGACCAGGATTCCGCGCACGTTGATGGAATCCACTGGAGCTCCAGTGGCCTCATACACGAACCTCGGTGCTGAATGGCAACCGGCGCTACCGAGGTATTTTCAAAAGGATGTCTTGATGTCTTGCTGCTTGCTATCCACATTCAAGATTGCAAATGTCAAGAAACAGAAACCATCAGAGCACAAATTAAAGGAGTATCCAATCAAGATGTTTCAAGATGTTTCAAGTAGCTTATTCGCGCGCACCACATCGAGCGTTGTGACGCCTCAGATTTCACAGCAGATTGGAAAGCATTCACACTGGAAGGACTGTCTCTACTGTCTCTAGTTTCATATCCAAACGAGAAGCTCTGAGCCTAAAAGCATCTTAAAATATCTTGAATATGTACGAATACCTTGCTGTATCTTGATGTGCCCGGACGCATCGCGATGTTCTCTTGATGTGTCTTGATGCGTGTTGATCTACATATCTTGACGTGTCGTGACCTATCATCTTTTGTATTTTGTTTCCTTTCGGTTCATTTCCCTTTAGCGTTGCACATCAATAAGGCTTCACTTGCTGTGCTTGCAACACTGCCTAAGCGCTGCACCGACAATCCTTCTCGGATCCAAACCTTTCTTCTCGTAGAGCCTTGCAGAGAAGCGCAAAGATCTCAACTTGATGCTTCAAACGAAATGCTGAAGCTGCAAACTGACAGAACTTGACAGAACTTGACAGAACTTCACTTATGAGGCAACAAGCTGCTTGATGTCAGTCATTGTCAGTCCATCCCAATTCATTCCAATCATTTCCAGTCCATTCCCACCCAATTTCCACCTTGCCATTGCAGGCACCACGCTATTTACAGGGTTCACGATGAGCCCAATGATGGCCTGAACAAATCTCGCAAAAAAAATGTTACGAAACAAGATGTACCTCGAGTAACATGGCTTCCTTCGATGGCTTCAGCAGTCTCAGCTTCATCCTTTCAAAACAAGTCAGTTTCTATCAGTTTCTATCAGTTTCCACTTTGTTTTGTACAAAATGTACTGATTCTTTTTGGTTTTTTGTACAAAATGTGTAGTTGTTCTGTAGATTGTTTGGTTCTCGCGCCTCCGGGCATCTCTTGGCACAAGCTTCAACAACCTCAGCGCTGGGCGACGCGAAGGCGATGTATGATGATGTCATGTCTTTGCGTTTTCAGGTTCTGGGTATCTGGAAAGCAAAAACTGAAAAAACAACAAGGCTCTAAAACATTCCAAAACTAGACTGCACAAGGTCGAAATACTCCTGCAATTAATCCGCTCGGCTAGGAGACGTGTGCCGATGTGATCTCATGTCTTTATGATTGCGCCTCCAATTCTGAATGCTATGCCACCTCGATTTGATGGTATTAGAACGGCCGAACCAAAATCCGAAGTCCGACAAAATCCGACCCATCTGACCCCCCTGATGGACTCTGATGGACTCTGATGGACCCTGCCAACTTCGCAATCCCGGCGTTCACCTGAAGCAGGTCCTGGTGATGTCGCACACGAGCGGCAGGGCTTGGAAGCGAGGTGGTTGCCATATGAAAATTCTGCACTTACAAAGTATTTCGAAGTTTATTTCTGATGTATTTCTGACGTATCAAGTCGTTGAGAGCAGTTACAATTTCTCTTCCAAATCTCTACGATTAGGACATATTGCAACGTAGTGCAAAATATTGCCACATATTGCAACTAGCCCTCAGACTCGGTGAAACAAGACGAAACAAGCCTTTTGAAACTTTCAAGTAACTTTCAAACATATTTTCAATATTTTTCAATCTACAGGTCTTGTTTGCAAGGCTCCTTTCGACTCTGTCCAGGCTTCCGCGGGACTCCTAAGGGGGCAGATCCAACGAGGATGGGAAAAACAACCCTGTGTCAGTTCACCGGGTCAGGTTGGGGCCTGTGATTTTCTACTAGAAAATGAATGTTGTATAAATTAGGGACCCAAGAAAATCTAGCTACAGACATCAAACCAATTTGAGGTACCCTAGAAAAATGGCAACCCCCAAGAAGTGCATTTTCGAAGCTATGGATAGTATTTTTTCTTAGAAAAAAATCACCCTGCTATGGAAAAACACTGAAGAAATCGACAAATCGACTTTGTTCAAAAATTTGAAGGTCTATAGTGTCTACATTTACTCTGAGTTGAAAACATATGATCATGGTCATAGTCTATGAGTCATAGTATTTGAAAACGATGTAAGGTCCATGCAAAATCGGAATCGCTGTAAGCATTGGTAAGTAATGAGGGATGGTTTTGCTAGTTCATCCCCCTTGATTTCTACAGTTTCTGCATATGATGAGTGCATAGCACTTTCCCACACCTTTAATCTGTAAATCTCCATGTTTTTCATGTCACTTAAGTCACGTATGTCACGTACGTATGTCACGTATGCATGTCCGTACGTATACGTATGTCACAGATGTGAGGTTCACCGTTTCTAGTGCTTCCAGTGCTTCCAGTGTTTCCAGTGTTTCCAGTACTTAGTGCCAGGCCTGCTGTGACGAGCACGAGAGAGCAGCCCTCCAAGCAGGCAGCTGGTAAGTCTTTCACCGGCCTTGCCTGGTGTCAGTGTCGGAAAACGACAGTAACAGGATGAGTGGGGATGTAACATGATGTAACATGATGTAACACTAACAGGAAGTAGATGGAAGTAGGATGGAAGTAGGATGTTTGTCAATGATGTAACAGGATGTAACAGGCTCGTTTGACGTTTGCTCGTTTGACAGGACTGGAGGCACAAGGCCGGCGCTGAGCTCAGGTCCTGCGCGGGTAAAGAGTAGGCTTTGACTCTGCATGGAAACCTGGTCGAATGTCGAATTGGACAGTGTCCAATGTGATCAATGTGCACTTTCACCCCAGTCTACCAGGCCAAAAATCCAAAACTTGTGTAATTAGCCAAGATTTTCAATTGAACCGACTGACATCTGATCTGGAAGGTGGCAAGAAACAGAAGAAACATCAAGAAGGAACATCAAGAAACTCAGTCAACTCAGTCTATCTTTGATGTTTTTTCTGACCTCTCTCTGTCATGGCTGTACGCTGTAGTCCAGCTGAGTCCAACTACTCTAGATGAGACAAATCAGCGGCCACCCCTTCTGCAGGGACCATGCTGCCCTGCCCAAGGCCCACGAGAACAACGGATCGACTGGTCACGACTGGTAATGACTGGTCATGACTGGTCGATGTACCACGTTGATTGACATGCTATGATCTTGTCCATGTACATTCTTGATTCTTCTAGATTTCAACTTACAGTTGACGCAAGCGTAAACACGTTGGCAGACGATTGGCAGACTCGACACTCAGCTGACTCGATAGAAGTTGTAATCAAGCAGTTTGACGTCACTTCGCAACTTCAAAAGGTGGCACATTTCTTGAGACAGCCACCAAAATCCTCAGGTTGCATTAAAATGCGTTCAGTAACCCCAATGTTAACCCCAAATGCCTCCAAGTCATAGACCGAGAGCTCCTGTTGCGAGAACTCGGTGCTTCAAATTCTGGGATGCGATTCCACGAGGACAGAAGCTCTTCGGAAATTCAGATCAAAATCTTCAAACGCCTCTGAAAAATTCTGAAAATCTGTTTCCATCGGCATGGCTGCGACTATTTGCGACTTTGTTACGTAATAAGATTTGCTCAGCCGGGGCATGCAGGATCATGATGTCATGATGGATGTACCATGGCCAGTTAACTCATCTATCGACTCCGCGGCCGGGCGCTCCTTGACAAACGTATTTGTTGCCATCAGAAGTGCCAGTTGTTGACCTCTTGGCTCGCAAGGCTCACAAGGCTCACAAGCTGGCTATGACGACAAGTTACGTAAGACCGACGTTTACGACGTTTACGACGTAAGACTAAGTTATGACATGTCAGACATGTCAGTGTCAAATTCTTTCAACTCAGGTCAATCAGACAGCTTCACTAGCGCCTATGCTCGTGGCACCACCGCAAATGCAGACTTTGAAACTATCCTCACGGGCTACGGTCGCCAAGAAGCTTGCATTCAACGGCGTTCAACTCAAATCAGCTGCGACAGCTTCGGTGTGCAGCACAGAATCTGGCCAAAATCAGTCTTGTATGTCTGTGCAGTAAATTTTGCAGGTCCTTCTTGCTAGCCAATCCAAAGCCTTCGAAGCATTGGCAATTCCCCATCGGACCATAGAGGGATCCAGGACAGGATCCTCGCGTCTAAATGGCACAGTTTCAAAAAATTTGAGCCGGCTCTGCGAGATGCCAGATTCGGCGAGATTCTGCGAGCAAGTGCAGTAAGAGTGACGAATGTCAGACTGTAAAGCTGATCTCCACTGAAAGAGCACAGCGCAAATCTTGCCTGCATCCGAGGGTATGAAAAATTGCATCTTGGCTTTGTCTTTTTCTCTTTCTGAATGTTCAATTGTGACTTGGCGTAACATGCAGCCCTTCAACTTCAAGAAGGGTTTCTTCCAGGACAGCCTTCAAGAAGGGTTTCTTCCAGGACAGCCTTTTCATGGTCTCACTTCTCTTGTAAATCATACAGTAAAGTCTTCACTTATCCCATGCAACTCTGTGCCGGTTAGCATTCAAGACACAGAGACGTAATGCTTAAACGAAATGGAAAAGGCTGCCTTCAAAAGCTGAGTTGAGAAGATCCTGGACACTGTACAGTCAGGATGGAATCGGATGCAATCAGATGCAACTCTCAAAAGGAAAGAGAGCGACTGCTCATTCCCTAGGACGCAGTATATACATGAAGTCCGCGTGAAGGGCAATAAGCCTCTGTACATAAAGAGGACGTACTAAACTGCTTCAAACTCAAGCTGTACATAGTCTAAAACGCGTTTTTTGGATCAACAAATCCAACAGCTTCTTAGAGAAGCTGTCCAACATCTTCAAACAATCGTGCCCCCTGCTGGGGCAGCAAAGGTCAAAAACAAAAGACTGATATAAGACAGACTGATCTGATTGGTGTCTCAGACAAGGGAAATTAACCGAGAAAGGATCGAAAGTGGCATGGCCTTGTGATGCCTTGTGATGGCTTGTTGCTGACTTTTTGCCTTCTTTGCCGTTTTATGCCTCTGCACAAGGCTCGAGATCCTCGAGGTTGCCTCAGGCAAGACAGGGCATGACTCGCGGGACAGTCGTGATGCTTCGATGCTGAAATGCTCCCGCCTGCCGCTTCAGATGTGACAAACAGTGGCATATGCACAGCAGCACAAAGTGACGCTGCACAGAGACAACCTGAAATTGGCATGACGATGCAGCGATGCATCATGCCTTCTCTTGCGTTCTATTGGTGCTTTGACTTCTTGACAATTGTCAGATCCTGTCCAGATCCTGTATGCCTTCTTAGATGTGGCTATGCAACTTGACCGCCCAGCAACCCAAAGACGCTGCAACAAGCTCGCGAGACCAGCTACCTGTTGGGTGGGCTAAAAGAGACGGCTGCAAGGCAAAATTGTTTGAGACAGTTGCAATGTAAAAAAAGAGTTTGGATGAGTTCGGTACTTGTCACGCCAACAAACTCCCAGATTCAAAGATCTACACTGGTTGTGAACCTGCTTGTTTCATCTTGTTTCCAAAGAGAAAGAGACCTCTCAACAACGCACCTGAGATGGATGGCATCACCAGCACGCCAGCAATGGATCCAAGTCCGCGAAGGGTTGCCAATAAAGCAAAGGCACAACCGGCCCGTTCCCTGTACCTATGCAGGGAATAAAGCGAATGAAGCGAATGAAGCGAATGAAGCTAGTGTCAACTGGAAGGAAAGCCTCAAAATGAACTCCCTAACAAATCCCCCGGATTTAGTGTCAATAGACGCTTAACAGGCGTAACATGCGTTCACGTTCTTTTGTCGTTCTTTTGACCTTGTCAGCTGAGGCACAGGTTCCCGCAAATGGCATTGTTATTGGTGCGTGCCAAGATGGTACTGAATCCCAGGAAGAAAGCGGCAGAGAGGTCCAGCACAGCTTTATCGAGGCTTAAGTCCTGCTTAGGTCGCTGCGTGGGATTGGCACATGTCTTGTCATTTCTTGTCTTATTTTGAGGCAATCTGTGACTTTCTGCAAAAAGAAAAGCAATCCTGAAAGTGTTTCAGAAGTCTAAGATGGTCTAAGTAGGATTAAGGAAGACGAGAGTTTCAGTGGACTTAGCTGGACATGCTTGGAGACAGGCTAAGCGGCTAAGGTTAGCGGCTAGCAGCGGCTAGGTCTCAACATTTCTCACTCGTGGCTCGTGGCTCCAGCTCGGCCAGCATCAAGGCGACCACAGCCATGGCAGCCTGGAAGACCAGCATCCAACGCCTACGGAGCAGCTGTGCGGCTGTCTGCGGAGCAGCTGTCTGCGTCCATGCGCGTCCAACGTGTCTCTGTTCAACGGCCCAAAATTGTCCAAATGGAGGTGTTCCGTGTGTTCCGTGTTACAAGACTAAAGCATCTAAAGCATCTAAAGCCACTAAACCGACTAGAGCAAGTAAATACAAGCGATGAAGGTGATGGAACAGACCGAATTTGTGTAAACACGGCCATTCGCATCTAAACGCGCTGCTTCTAGTGCCATCATATGCTATCCTCAAAATTGGAAGTCTTGAAAGCTTGAGCAAGACCTACTGCACATGATGTCCCTCCCTCACCACAAAAGAATACGAAAATGCAACAAACAAAGTAGCGAAAGCATGTGAAGCATGCGGCGTCTTGACAATGCACCTTCCGAAGCGATCAGCCATCGGAGCATAGACAAGACTTGCAAAAATGTGGCCCAATCCATTGAGAAGCAACGTAAGCTGAAAGTGCTCCTGCGAGAGAGCAGAGCCCGAGTACAAACTTACAACATCTTGCAACATTCCCCTAGAATTCCTAGAAAGTAACCGCTCCATCAATTGTTCCTATCGCCTGTCGATTTGGCAAAAGAACAACTTTCGGCCATGGATACATACCAGCAAAGTTTACAAAAAAGATCAGGAAAAACTGGTAAAACTTTCAATGTTCCGTTTTCCAAATTTTCCAAAAGCTCGAGCTCAAGACCTCACGTTCTTTGTATCCCGCCAGTCATGCTCCGAAGAGGATGTGGAAGTCCATCTGCTCGCCATGATGGGCAGCACGGCAGGCACGTATGCATTTAAACACCAACCTCAAGACAAGATGAACAGTCAACATCAGTCAACATCAGTCAACATCAGTCAACACAGAACACTATTGGCTTTCTTGGCAGGGTCTTTATTATGTCTTTCTTGGAATCGTTGAGGCTTTCAGTTACACATATGCGTTGAGAAGTCTTATTTTGTAACATGTGTCAGCGCCGAATTCTGTGTGACATCCGGCTCTGAACTGGTGCATCCTCCCAGGACCAGAAGTCACTGTCTCTGTGACTTGGCTCTGCTTTGCTGTTTTCATTTAGTTTCCTCCAACTTCCATCGAAGTCGTGCTCAATGCCTGAAAAAGAATGGCAAAGTGACAAAGATCCAGCTAGATAATATCTAAGAATCTAAGATGAATCTTGACTGCTTCAGGTCGCCTTCAGCAAAGGATAAGACGCCCAAACGTCGAGCTGGAGCTTCAGACAAAAGCTTTAGAGATAGCGATGATGCAGCTGACACGCTGGTATGGGCTTGGTCACTCGCGGGAAGGCAACACAGCAGTAGAACGCCTGGCAAATACATCTTCCATGAACAGGATGAAAAAAATCCGAAGAAAATGAATATAATTGAATGCAAAATGAAAGCAACAAGCAGAAGTATTTAGAAGTTGTTCCGGTTCGTTCAAATGTTCACACATCAACAAGAACCGTTCGAAGGTGAAAGTCAGGAAATAACAAGCTCTCCACCAACCTTTTGGCATTGCTTCAACAAATTTGTGTGATACGAATACAATATTATATAGCAAGTAAATATTTTTTAGAAAAAAAGTGTATTCATCGTTTCAGGCTCCGGATCGGTTCTGGCATGTGCGATCTTATCGGACTTTCTGCTTTACGAACCGGGCTCTGCCGGGCTCTGCCTAAAATGGCCAGGGTAAGCAGCGTCAGGGGAACTGCGATGCTATGCGGCCCAGCGAAGTCGATCACCGGTGCCACCACAGCAGGGCCAAGAAAGGCACTCGCAAAAAAAGAGAGCGAGAACATAGACCTCAAATTCGACAAATTCGACAAATTCGACATCTGCAAATTGCCAACCCTCCGCAGGATTCAACAAAATTCAACAGGATTCAACCAACAAGATAATCGAGGCGAAGTCGTGTAAATGCTATGCTCTCACCACAAAGTCTTGAGAACTACAGATCATCCGGTCAGTGTCCTCCACCAACCACCACCAATTTTAGTATAACCGTAGTTCAAAATGTGTTTTGCTTCGCTTGGTGGCATGTACCAGTTCAGCAAATGCTGCGGCGCATAGTGGGTCAGCACATAGCCTTGGGATGGCCACAGAAGTCCTCACGCAACTCACCCTCTGCGACAGTTGGCAGAGGCAGAGTTTCAATAGAGGCAATGGGGTCAAACCAAAAGCATAAGGAAACAAATGATAAGCAAAAATGCAACGGAAATTTGGGCTCGCTAGTTCGATGCAGCCCAGCGCACCTTTTCTTCTCAGCGCTCTGCTTCGAAGGTAAACCAAAAGGGCTGCGGTACATGAACATGAATCATGCTACCTAAGAGGAACAGATCCTAGGTACACCCTATACACCAACACGCCTCCCGAGGGGAACGTGACTCAGGTCTGTTACCCGAGCTTGGTGTAAACTGTCTCAGATTCGTCACCAGGCTCAAGCCCTTCAGCCTAAACATCGAGAGCTAGAACATGTCGTCCAGTTGCATAGAAGTAGTTCATGCCCTCGAGTAGTGTACGGACTCGTGCTTGATCTAAGGGTTTCGTGAGTAAGTCTGCCAACATCTTCAGGGTCGGTTGTTTGCCCAGAGATATGCGTTTGGCATTGACTGCGTCCTGGACCCACAGAAAGATGGTGTCCAGATGCTTCACTTTTCCAAGTCCGTGTCTTGAACCTATTGATAAACCTGTAGTTGAATCCATCCAGATGTGAATGGGGAACCACAGTCCCCAGTCTCGAAGGACTGACTGCTCACCAAGGGCATTGCATGCTGCAGATGTAAGCGAATAATATTCCGCTTCTCCGCTAGAGAGCGCGATCACGGCCTGACCTTTGCAACTCGTTTTCGTCGTCGATCCTCCGATTCGAATGCAATAGCCAGTTGTGCTCTTCCGAGTTCGCAAACATCCAGCGTGATCTGCATCACACCAAACCTCTAGGCGATGCGCGGTCTGTTGAAACGGAAAGAGGTGGATGAGTCTCGGTTTGTTCTTTAAGTACCGAGCGCCACGTTTGAGCATCATCCTACGTTTCGGTTTCCTGTGCAACGACGTTTTGGTTTTATTGGTGGCACTGAATCATGGGGATATTCTAAGTGCCGTCCTTCCCAGCAAATTCAATTATTATGATGTTTTTTCGGGTACTGGTCCATATTCTAAGTGTACTATTGCTTCATGTTAAAATCCCAAAAAAAATCACGTTCGGAGCCACTCTCTTTTTGGGTTGTAAAGTTCCAACAATTATCTCAACCAAATAAATCGGCGAAAAACCGTCTTCTATTTTACTCAAAAAGTTAGTATACTCTAAGTTGTTGTCCTCTATACGAGTTACTCGATCATCCAGGTGAGACTTGCCGCGGTTGGCACTGAGCCAGGCACCGGCGCAGTGTGCGGGTTTTGGAGGACGTGGATCACGCGATCCACGTCCCCCGCCCGCAGCAAGTCTTGCAGCTTCTTAGGGCCACCCACGGCCCTGCAAAAGAGGGAAAGGATCGACTTCCCTAGGACACGGCGTGGCATGGGATCGTATTCCCATGCAGCCTGCTGTCCCAAGGTGTCATGCACCAGTTTCCCTAAAACTGCTCCGGCTTCGCCGGATAGTCGCACAACCGGAAATGGGAAAAAGAGGGTGCCAAGCGCAACCCCCTCCCGTTGTGCAAAGGTACTTAAGGTCAAGAGGCCTGAATAGGGTTTAGAAGAGTTCACAGTAAAACCAAGAGGAGATAAGGAACCAAGAACACAAGGCAAACGAAGTGAACTCTTCCGTAACCCGGCGGTGGACCAAGCAACCCTCGTTGCTTGGTCCACTGCCTCTGACGGTACCTTTTTTGGCGCATCGAGCGCCGCGTGGCAACCGTGTGCCAGAAAAAAAATAGCCGCTTGTTCGCGGAAGTGGGGTCGGCGTCCAGCAACGCCGCAGCCTGTTCCTGGCGGAAGGTTGTTGTGAAGCTATCTATCTACCTATCTACCTATCTACCTATCTACCTATCTACCTATCTACCTACCTACATACCTACCTACCTACCTACCTATCTATCTATCTATCTATCTATCTATCTCGTCCTCTTTCTATCCATCTCTCTATCTCTCTGTCTACTGGTCTATCTGTCTACCTACCTACCTACCTATCTATCTATCCATCCATCCATCCATCCATCCATCCACCTATCTCTCCCTCTCTCTCTCTCTGCCTCTCACTCTCTTTGTCTATCTCTCTCTATCCATCCATCTCTCTCCCTCTGTCTATCCAACTGTCTATCTCTCCCTCTTTCTATTGATCTGTCTATCTGTCTATCTGTCTATCTGTCTATCTATCTCTCTATCTCTCTATCTCTCCATCTATCTATCTATCTATCTATCTGTCTGTCTATCTATCTATCTATCTATCTTTCCATCTTTCTATCTGTCTATCTGTCTATCTGTCTATCTGTCTATCTGTCTATCTGTCTATCTATCTGTCTATCTGTCTATCGCTCCATCTATCTATCTATCTATCTATCTGTCTATCTATCTATCTATCCATCTTTCTATCTGTCTATCTGTCTATCTGTCTATCTATCTGTCTATCTGTCTATCTGTCTATCTATCCGTCTATCTGTCTGTCTGTCTATCTGCCTACCTATCTATCTATCTATATATCTCTTTCTCTCTCTTTATCTATCTATCGATCTATCTGTCCATCTCTCACTCTCTCTATCTATCTGTCTCTCTACCTGGTACCTATCTGTCTATCTGCAAGCTTGAAAACAAAGCTATTCTGCGAACTTCTTGATTGTTCAAAGTTGGCAACATCAAGAACGCGCCGCCAATTCTGCGAGACTTCCTCCATGTTTGAACATGACAACGTCAAAAACGAAGCATTTCTGCCAATTCTGCGAGTCTTCTTCATTTTTCAAAAAGTTGACGACGTCAAAAACGACGCAATTCTGCGAGCCTTCCTTCAAAAATGGAAAGTTCAGTGTAGAGGTGACGGCCTCGTGCCAATGCGTTTTGCGATTTTCCAGCCCACCTGTCTAAAGTACTGCGCCTGTCACGAAAAAGCGATGCCGGGTGATACGAAACGCTGCACCTGCCAGGCAAAATAATTTCAGAAAACCTGAAGATCGGAGGATCCAAAATGGAACCCCTCTCAGGAAATCAGCGCCCGGACCTCCTCACAGCTCTGAAGAACATGTCTCTTGTGCTGCGCACGCCACCGAAAATTTATTTTTGCAGATCCTCAACCACGCAGCCACCCAGAGCCAGCCAGCTTAGGGATAATGATGATGCTCCATGCGCATGGAGAGGATTCACCATTCATGTTGTGAAGGTATGCGAAGGTAGCCAAGGATCATCGGATCTGGTCAATTCGCTTGAAATCAAAATTAGTGAAGCCAATGCAATCCCAAAAGAAACATTCATAATCGTGATTGTTTTGGGGTATGATTCAGGGGTATGATTCCCACAACTCGAACATCCTGCCTTAAAGACACAACCATATATTTATATATGTGCGTATATTTTTTAAAATTTAGTTATTTTTTTTGATTAGCTTATTTATTTTTATCTATTTCCTTACTTAAAAATTGAAATAAGTAGATTAAATTAATCTATTTTTTTATTTTATATATATATATATATCTATATCTATATTTGCTCCGCCATGTATTTTGTCATGTCATCATGCCAAAAAGGCGCCTTGGATTTTTTCAACGAATGCATTCGGACGACTTGTTCCGACATCTAATTTTGGTAGATCATTTTGGCATAGCTTCCGCCCGTCATATTTTCCAATTGAATGTTTAGAGATTCCTCCGAGAGCTCTTCTGGCAAATATCCCGACATTTTATCCGACAGCTCTGTGTGCAACCCTGCCATGATTTACAATTTACCCAAGACGATGATGATAATCGAAAGAAGTTTAGACGTGAAACTTCCGACAATATGGACAGTTGAAAAGCAGAGGTGACAAGAGTCAGAAGAGAAAAGATCAGAAGAAAGAAGATGCAGGTGGGCGAGAAACGCTGAAAGTCGCGAAACACTTGCGTTTTTCCAATGCTTTGTGGCTCCGGAGGGTCGAAAAGTAGGCTCGCTAAAGCGGCGGGTGCGGAGCCAGCTGGCTAGCTGAGAGATGAAGAATTGCACGCCGTTGTGGCGCGAAGCACATTTGGAAGTGAAAAATGCACAAAACACCACAGGAGCGGACCGCTTTTGGAAGTTGAGATGTTGGAAAAGTGCACGCCGTTGTGGCGATGTCGAAAAAGGTGCACGCCGTTGTGGCGCGAAGCACATTTCCAACTAAAAGTATTAAAAACACTAGGGGTTCGGACCACTTTTGGAAGTTGCGATGTCGAAAAAGTGCACGCCGTTGTGGCGCGAAGCACATTTCGAAGGCAAACTGTTAAAAACACCGCATGCTCGGGCCGCTTTTGGAGGTTCAGATGTCGAAAAAGTGCACCCCGTTGTGGCGCGAGGCACATTTCCAAGTCAAAATAAAAAAACTAGGAGTCCGGACCACTTTTGGAGGTTCAGATGTCGCTTCGCTTCGCTGCATTACACTACACTACACTACATTGCACTACACCCCACCACACAACCTTCCACAACACTACAACTACAACTACACAACTGCACAACTACACCGCACTACACTCCACTACACTAGATTCCACTCCACTACACTCCACTACACTAAATTACACTACAGTACGCTACACTACACTCCACTCCACTACATTGCACTTCACTACGCTACACTACACTACATTCCACTACATTACAACTACAACTACACAACTACACTCCACTACACTAAATTACAGCACACTACACTACATTACACTACGCTACACTCCTCTAGACGACACTACACTACCTTCCACTACACTTCACTACGTTACACTACACTACATTCCACTACACTACAACTACAACTACAACTACACAACTACACAACTACACTCCACTACACTCCACTACATTACACTACATACACTACATTGCACTACGCTACACTGCATTCCACTACACTTCACTCCACTCCACTACACTACATTACACTGAATCACACTGCACCACAGATAGACAGGTAGACAGATAGATAGATAGATAGATAGGTAGGTAGGTAGGCAG